AACCTTTTGAATTTAGAAGGATAGTTTTAGAAATAGCTGATAGACCGCTAGTTCAGATTAATTCTTATTAAGAATTTATATACTTGATCAGATAAATGCATAATCAATAAAATAGCCCAAATAAATGTCCCTCATAAGCAATTAGATTTAGCAAAGAATTATTAGCTTATCTAAAAGTGATTAGAACATTCTTGAAATCTAGTTTTTTATTTTAAAATATCAAAATAGTATAAACGCAGATTAGCAAAGAAGATAAAGTACGCTTATATAAAGGATTTACTTAAAGCATATAAAAAATGCCTATTAATTATAAAAAAGTCAAGAGAAATCCACTAAAAAATGTAAGTAAATAATTTCTATATTTGCCACTAAATGTAATTTTTAATAACTATACTTAGCATTAAAGACATTATACAAGACATTCAACATATTTTACTTGGAATAATAAGGATCAGAGATCAAGTAGAATTTAGAAGAATAAAGCAGAACAATTTCTTTATAAAATGTAAAGTCAAATCAATTTAAAAAAGCAATATTTCATATTACAAAATTGCCAAAATGTTAGAATGATTAAAAGTAATTACTCATATTTATTAATTTTAATAGCAATTATATCTTAAATTTATCTACCTATGTATTTATTTTTATGTCTGTCTAATACATTTTTATTTGCAGTTGTAGTTGTTGTCTTTCTGTTCTTAATCAAATGATTTAATTATATGTTATTCTAATATAAAAATTTAAATTTATATTTTGTATTCTTTTTGGTAATTAAGTATAAGCTTGCTCAAGTGCGCATAGCGCCTAAATATTTTAAGCCCTTTATTATTAAATTAGTATCTATAAATATATATAAATATATGAATTCGGAATCTACTGCTCCATTAGGTGAGAAAAAAAAAATATATTCAATATAGTTTTATCAGTTTTTCATTTTTTCTCTTTTTTTAAATTTGATAATAAACAAGATATTACATTTATGTGTCTATTTATTATATAATGCAATTAATTAATTTTACAAACATAAATGTTTTAAAGATATTAGTTATTCATTATATTTTCATTATACTCTTAATATAAATTTGCTGATAAAGAATTAATTAAATATTTTTTCTTCATCTATCTATCTATTAATTAATATAATATATTTAATTTTAGAATCAAAAATGTTAAGTTATTTTTAGATATTAATGATTCATTATATTTTCATGATTTTCTTAAGATAAATTTGCTTAAAAATAATTAATTAAATATTTCGTTCATCCATCCATCTGTCTGTATATCTATATATTATATAATACACTGAATTAATTTTACATTCATAAATATTAAATTTGTTTTAATATTAATTATACATTATATATTCATGATTTTCTTAAGATTTGCTTATAATAATTAATTAAATACTTCTTCATCTGTTTGTCTATCTCTCTATTATATATGCAATTAATTAATTTTAGAGTCATAAATATTAAATTCGTTTTGATATTAATTATTGATTATATATATTCATGATTTTCTTAATATAAGTTTTGCTTATAAATAATTAATTAAATATCTTCTCCCAAAAGTAATTTTATTAAGAAATAGCATAATTAGCAAGAAAAATGAATTAGATCTAAAGTATCCAAGATCTTAAACTCAAATAAGAGGAATTCTTCATCCTATCTAACAAAAACTACAGAAGCTGCCCTAGACATCCTGATAACTGGATTGTTTCGTTAAGCACTAATCCTAATTCTAGCCAATTCATTCAATGCGCTGAGTGTTTTTCTGAGAATCCCAATTAATATTATTTGAATTTAGTTGGACTTATTAAGGAAAATGAAAAAACTGTTTTTAAGAACTACCCAGTTTATGGCGATAATGAGCTTTACGAGAAACTTAAGCAAATCTTTGAGGCTGATTGCTCTGTTGATGGATTGTTATCTAAAATTTCATCTTTTTTCTTAAACTTAAGAAAATAAATCGACCAAAAAATAATACTTAAAGAAGAACAGATGATGAGCTAAGCAAAGTCATTATGGAGCTTAAATGAACAGGTAATTATTTAATATAATAAATTAGCCGAAAAGGAATAGCTTAAGAATATCATCACCAATTTCAAAGATGACCTTGACAAGTAAAATGAGCTTTTTAAAGAATTATTCACTCGAATTTCTACTAACTAGAAAAAATATTAAGAAGAATTGAATGAAAAGATTGATTTCTTCGAAACTTAAAAGTCAATGATTAATTTTGAAACAGCAGAAAGTATTAATTAGAATATTGTGCAATTAATTGATTCAATTGATATGTTTGTTATCAAAAACTTTGAAGATCTCAAAATTGATAATTCAAAAGAAAAGTTAGAATTGTATGAAAAAGATATTTAAACTAAAGACAAAAATGAAATGACAACAAGCTAGTTAATGGCTAAGCTAATTAGCAATAGATCAAATTGTTGCTCGCAGGAGTTAACTAAAGAGCTACAAAAAATAGTGTTCAAGTTATCAAACAGCATTGATAGAGTTGACATTAAAAACCTTTTAAATGAAGATTTGTTGGAATTGGAATTTGATAAGATGAATGATGAATAATTTGATTTAATTAAGGACTTGTCTAGATACTTCATTACAGTAATATTTCAATATTAATTTTATGTACTTCATATCAATCAATCTTTAATAACTTCATAATTACCACCCCAAAATAAATTTTAAATTTTCAACGTTAAAAGATTATATTATAAATTATGATTACTAAATTTTACAATTTTATGTTAATAGGGTAAATAAGAATTAGATGAAAGAAGTGACAATAAAGATAAATTAATTAAATTAATATCAAATAAATTTAATTTCTGTTCAGAATAATTTCTTAGCAATTTATCAGCTCAGTTTGATAGTTTCCTTCCTATAATTAACAAAATTAACTTCAAAGATTACTTACAACCTAACAAGACTCCAATAAATGCAGATTTTCTAAATAATTTGTAGCTTTTAGAAATTGCAGATCTTGTTTAAAGATTAGAAACTTCAAATAATAACTAGAATTAGAATGATATGGATCAAAATCTATAAAATTAATAAATAAAGATAAAGCAATAAAAACTGATTTCACTTTTAGAAAACAAAACAAATTATTGTCATGATTATTTTATTTAAAATGCAAAAAACTCTATTTAGAAATATTCATAAATTATCAATCATTTATTTTTAAATGTAGAAATTTTCAAAGAAAATAAAAGCTAAACTATTGATTTTAGCAAACTTACAACTAAACAAATTGATAACTTAGAATAATTAGCTAATAAAATATCTTAACTTACTCAATAGTTTGGACAAGCTTACTACAATAGTACCTCTCCTATTTTTGTCTAATAAATTAAATCAAATTATTTTTCAAAATAATTAGGAAATAATAAAGATATTGAATAGTTACTTGTAAATTATCCAATTTTTGAAACTATAAATTTACCTTAATTTAATATAGAATTTATCAAATCAAATTATGAAAGTAGTTAATAATTAATTTTAGAAAAAAATAAGCTATTAGGCTATATAGTAAAGCAACCCAAATCATTAACAGGTTAAATATTTACTAGAGATAAATTAGATCCTAACTTAAATTATATTTTTAGATGTAAAGTCAACTAGAATTTAAATTGTAATTATTTATGTTTTGGAATAATGAATATGTAAGAAATACATAATAAATTTTTATTTGGAGAAAAATGTTGCTTTCGCACGAGTGACAGTGGATATGGTTTAGATAAAATATTAAAAGGAAAAAACTTATATGAAGTGCGATAAGAAATAAATGAATTAGAAATTAGAGTTAATATTTCTAAGAGAGTTGTATTATTTATGGACTATCCAAAATATTAAAATATAAACAAAGTTGATGAGTCTAAAATAATATAAGACAAAAATTATAGCTTTGGAATATATTTTTCTACTCCAGGTGATGATTATAATATTGAAATAAAAACATTATTAATTGACGATAAATATTTAGAAAACTTTGATTAAAAATGATAGAAATCAAGAAAAAAAATATAAGAATTATTGTATAAAATGAATTAATTGTTAGATAAATTTTAAAATAATTAAATTTAAAAAATAAAAAAATAGATATTTAAAATTATAAAGGTTTTTATTTATTTAATTTAAATATTTATATTATTTATTGCAAGTATTTTTATTTACAAAACTTAATATTTTATAACAGCATTTTAGTTTTTATTTTACAACTTTCAAATTTAATCTTATTTTTGTGAAATTAATTTAAAACAAATAATTTTTACTTAAATTATCAAAAATATTTAATTAATAAAACAATTTAATAATTTATTCAATTTATTGTAAAAATATTTTTCATGTTTTATTTTTATATCTTTTTTCAAAACTTTAAATTGAAAAATAAGTTAAAAACTTTTTTACATTTTGTTATCCTTAATTTAGTTAAAACTTGTAAAATTAATTCATAAAATTTGTAATATAATTTTCATATTTTTGATTGTTTTCTATTTATTTATGAGTGTTTCATCTTTTCTCTTCTTTTTTTATTGTTTGATAATAAACAAGATATTACATTTATGTGTCTATTTATTATATAATGCAATTAATTTTACAAACATAAATGTTTTAAAGATATTAGTTATTCATTACTTTCTTAATGTAAATTTGCTAATATGTATTAATTAAATATTTTTTTCTTCATCTATCTAAATATCTATCTATCTATTAATATAATGTATTTAATTTTAGAATCAAAAAAGTTAAATTCGTTTAGATATTAATCATTCATTATATTCTTAATATAAATTTGTTAATAAATAATTAATTAAAAATGTTTTCTTCTTTTATCTATCTATTAATATAATGTATTTAATTTTAGATTCAAAAATGTTAAATTCGTTTAGATATTAAACATTCATTATATTCTCAATATAAATTTGCTTATAAATAATTAATTAAATATTTCATTCATCCATCCATCTGTTTGTATATCTATCTATTATATAATACAATTATTAATTTTACAGTCATAAATATTTAATTTGTTTTAATATTAATTATTCATTTTTTATTCATGATTTTCTCAAAATAAGATTTGCTTATAAATAATTAATTAAATATTTCCTTCATCTGTCTGACTAATTATCTATTATATAATGCAATGAATTAAATTAATTATTTATAAGCAAATCTTATATTAAGAAAATCATTAACATATAATGTATAATGAATATCAAAACGAATTTAATATTAAATATTTTCTCCCTAAAGTACTTTTATTAAGAAATAACATAATTAGCAAGACAAATGAATTAGATATAAAGTATCCAAGATCTTAAACTCAACTAAGAAGAATTCTTCATCCTATCAAACAAAAACTACAGAAGTTGTCCTAGACATCCTAATAATTGGATTGTTTCATTAAACACTAATCCTAATTCTAGTCAATTCATTCAATGCGCTTAATGTTTATCTGAGAATCCCAATTAATATTCTTTGAATTTAGTTGGACTCATTACGGAAAATGAAAAAACTGTTTTTAAGAACTACCCAGTTTATGGCGATAATGAGCTTTACGAAAAACTTAAGCAAATCTTTGAGGCTGATTGCTCTATTGATGGATTGCAATCTAAAATTTCATCTTTTTTCTTAAACTTAAGAAAGTAAATCGACCAAAAAATAATACTTAAAGAAGAACAAATGATGAGCTAAGCAAAGTCAATATAGAGCTTTAATGAACAGGTAATTATTTAACATAATAAATTAGCCGAAAAGGAATAGCTTAAGAATATCATTACCAATTTCAAAGATGACCTTGACAAGTAAAATGAGCTTTTTAAAGAATTGTTCACTCGAATTTCTACTAACTAGAAAAAATATTAAGAAGAATTGAATGAAAAGATTGATTTATTCGAAACTTAAAAATCAATGATTAATTTTGAAACAGCAGAAAGTATTAACTAGAATATTTTGCAATTAATTGATTCAATTGATATGTTTGTTATCAAAAACTTTGAAGATCTCAAAATTGATAATTCAAAAGAAAAGTTAGAATTTTATGTAAAAGATATTTAAAGTAAAGACAAAAATGAAATGACAACAAGCTAGTTAATAACTAAGCTAATTAGCAATAGATATAATTGTTGCTCTCAGGAGTTAACTAAAGAATTACAAAAAATAGTGTTCAAGTTATCAAACAGTATTGATAGAGTTGACATTAAAAACCTTTTAAATGAAGATTTATTAGAATTTGAACTTGATAAAATGAATGATGAATAATTTGATTAAATTAAGGACTTCTCTAGATACTTCATTACAGTAATATTTCTATATTAATTTTATGTACTTCATATCAATCTTTAATAACTTCATAATTACCACCCCAAAATAAATTTTAAATCTTTAACTCAATAACTAAAATTTAATATTTAACAAAGTTTATTTATTTTAGATAACAATAGATAAGAAATATTCCATTATTTTTAATTTTAAAGTCTCAAAAAAAATTGAGGCTGTTATTGACCTTCCTAAATTTATGAAATTTTAGTCATAATCAGTGCTTATAATTGCGAGAAGGAAAAAATTTTTTAGAAGATAAGTTTTAATAGAGTGAAATGCCTATTTAATTTATAAAAGGCGAAATGTAATATATCTTAATAACATAATAAATACAGCTAAATAAGCTTAAAACTGCTTTATTTTTGAGTTTTTAGAAAGCTTTAAATTCGCAAAATGTAAAATTTGAAATAATAGATACCGTATATTCTTATAACATGTCATTTTTTTTGAAAAAAATAAATTTTGAAAATTTTTTCAAACCTTAAAAGATTATATTATGAATTATGATTACTAAATTTTAGAATTTGATGTTAATAGGGTAAATAAGAGTTAGATGAAAGACGTGACAATAAAGATAAATTAATTAAATTAATATCAAATAAATTTAATTTCTGTTCAGAATCTTTTCTTAGCAATTTATCAGCTCAGTTTGATAGTTTTCTTCCTATAATTAACTAAATTGACTTCAAAGATTACTTACAACCTGACAAGACTCCAATAAATTTTAGCAAACTTACAACTAAACAAATTGATAACTTAGAATAACTAGCTAATAAAATATCTTAACTTACTGAATAGTTTGGACAAGCTTACTACAATAGTACCTCTCCTATTCTTGAATAATAAAATAAATCATAATTTATTTCAAAATTAATAGGAAATAATAAAGATATTGAATAGTTACTTGTAAATTATCCAATTTTTGAAACTATAAATTCACCTTAATTTAATATAGAATTTATCAAATCAAATTTCAGAGATAGTTAATAATTAATTTTAGAAAAAAATAAGCTATTTGGCTATATAGTAAAGCAACCCAAATCATTAAGTGGTTAAATATTTACTAGAGATAAATTAGATCCTAACTTAAATTATATTTTTAGATGTAAAGTCAACAAGAATTTAAATTGTCAAAATTTATAATTTGGAATAATGAATACGTAAGAAATACATAATAAATTCTTTTTTGTAGAAAATTGTTGCTTTCACACCAGTGTCAGTGGATATGGTTTAGATAAAATATTAAAAGGAAAAAACTTATATGAAGTGAGATAAGAAATAAATGAATTAGAAATTAGAGTTAATATTTCTAAGAGAGTTGTATTATTTATGGACTATCCAAAATATTAAAATATAAACAAAGTTGATGAGTCTAAAATAATATAAGACAAAAATTATAGCTTTGGAATACGTTTTGGTGTTCCAGGTGATGATTATAATATTGAAATAGAAACATTTTTAATTGACGATAAATATTTAGAAAACTTTGATTAAAAATGATAGAAATCAAGAAAAAAAATATAAGAATTATTGTATAAAATGAATTAATTGTTAGATAAATTTTAAAATAATTAAATTTAAAAAATAAAAAAATAGATATTTAAAATTATAAAGGTTTTTATTTATTTAATTTAAATATTTATATTATTTATTGCAAGTATTTTTATTTACGAAACTTAATATTTTATAACAGTATTTTAGTTTTTATTTTATCAATAATTTTAAAAAATTATAAAAAAACTGTAAATTTTATTTTACATAGAATTAATTATGGTAAATAATTATTTAAATTCGTTATAAATGAATATGTTGTTTAAATTTTATGAATTGTATGCAAATATGAAAAATTAAATAACAAAATATACAAAATATCTTTTAAAAATCATAAATTTAATTTTTTAAAAATTAATCTTTTTAACTTAAGACACTTGCTTTTAATTTTCAATTTTTGTGATTCTTCAATTTGATTGAGGCTTTAAATTATTTTAACAAAAAATAAAGCAATAAAATAATAATGTAAAAAATTAAAATGTTAATTAAAAACTAAAAACAAAAGTAAAATTAATTGATTAATAAATTAAAAATCTCAAATAAAACAAAAAAAGAATCAATATAATTTGAGTTTAGGATTGATATTATTAATTCATTTTTTATGTAAATAAAAAATCTTATCAAAAATAAACACTTTTACGTTAGATCTAGTATCAAAATTTAAAGATTTATGGAGTCTTGTAAAACAGAGCATAATTCTAATGCTCCAATAGAGTCTATTTAATTGTATCTATTTATTTTTTCAACAACAAACGAAATATAATTATTTTAATTTTAAACTGAAAAAATAAATTTAATAAAAATAAAATCAAGAGAATAAAGTAAAAACAACACTAATAAATAAATAAACAAAAATGAAATAAATAAGGTTTTATTTGTATAAAATATATTTAAAAACAACTCAATCAGACAAATAAAGTATTTTACTCAAGATTTAGATTTAAAACTAAGATCTTAGAACATTTTGCAATAGCAGAGCACAAGTCTAATGCACCCTATGCACATATTTGATTGCAGCTTTTGATATATTCATGAGTTCAGAGGAATATTTTAATTAAATAAATGAAAAAATAAAAAGCTAAAAAATAAAATTTATGAATTGAAAATTTAAATGTTTGAAAAATAAATAAGTACATTTAAAATATAAAATAAAAGAAATCAATAAAATAGTAAATAACTGTATTTTTATTGCCTTAATTAATTTGATATAAAAAAATAATTAAATCTAAAAAATTTAAGCTATTTATTTATTTATACGAGAGATTTAGTTTCAAAATTGAGATACTATTGCTTTTTGCTAAAGCAGAACCTAGACCTGATGCACCCTCGTCATCAATTTAGTTATCACTTTTTATTAATTCATTACAAAGATTTTTTTGATATAAAAAAATTTTTTTTAATGCTAAAAATCACAAATAAAATTTACAAATAAATAATTAAATTAGAAACATCAAAATAAATTAAAAATTTTACCTTAGATCTAATGTTAAATTAGAGATATTGTTGGATTTTGTTAAAACATTTAATAATTCTGATGCAGCCTATGAACCAATTAAATTATCACTTTTTTTATGTTTAAGCATACAATAAAATATTATGAAATAATAAATTGTAGACATGAAAAAGTAAAAGTAGAAAATTGAATGATATTTGTAAAAATTAAATTTAAGTATGATTAATTAAACTTGAATAAAAATAAAAAAATTTAAGTAAAAAACTAATTAAAATATTATTATAGTGAATTATTTTTTTGTAAAAAATAACTCAATTAAAAAAAATATACTATTTTATTTACTAGAGATTAAGTGACAATGCTGATATATTAGTACATTTTGCCAAAGAGTTGCATAGCATTAACGCACCTTATGAGCAAATTGAGTTGTAACTTATTATATATTCAATATAAATTTATTTCTATATACCTTGAATTTTCATTAACTAAGGACGGTTGACAAAATATTTTTTCTAATAAATTGATTAAACTTAATAAAAATTTTACCTTAATTTAGTTAATGAGAATGCACGATAAGTTTAAAATTTAAAGTAAATGATATTTAAAGAAGTAAATTCAATTTTTATTAAACAATTAAATGACAAAGCCAAGTAAAAAAAATAAACTTATTTTTACATGAGATATAGAGCCAAATTTTAAAGGCTAGCACAATTTATAAAAGCTTAACCTAAATATTATGCACCAAATTCACCAATTCTATTATAACTTTTTTAAATGTTTTCAAAAATTTTAGTTTTAATTAAGCAATCTGAAGAAATATTAAAAGACTAATGCTAAAATTAAAAGAACACTCAAAAATTAGCAAAAATAAACTAATTAATTGAAATTTTATCAAAAGATAACAAAAAATAAACCTATTAAGCCAAAAGAAAAAAGATAATATTTTAGGTTTAAATTTACATTAAAAAAGACAAATAAAAAAAGATAAATAAATAAATTTTGTAATTTTACCTAAGGTCTAGAGTCAAGTTTGAAAGGTTTTTGAAATTACTTAAAGCAGAACCTAAAGCTAATCCACCCTATTCATCTATTAAATTGTCACTTTTTATTTGTTTGAGGTTAAGTTTATTAATTGATATGAAAAACAAGTAGAAAATTGTGAAAAAAAATCAAAAATTTAATTCACATAATAAATTTAAATAGAAATAATTAAAAAAAATAAGTTTTGTTAAAAATTAAATTCAAATAAAGAAAAAATAAACTAAGTTAAAATTGAAAGTGCTAATAAATAATTAAAAAAAATATTCTTAAAGAATTAATCAAAATAAAAGTAAAACAGTAATAAATACTAAAGTTTCAGCATCAAAATTGAGATATTAGGACAACTTGCTAAAGTTAAAACTAAATCTTTTGCAGCTAATGTATCAATTTAATTGTAGCTTTTTATATATTTAACATAATATTATAAGTTAACTCAACAAAATATTAAACAATAAAAACAAACTTAAATATCAAAGCTTAAAGGCAAATTTGGAAAAATAAATAAATAAAAATAGAGTTTCTAACACATAAAAAGGAAAATAGAAATAAAAAATATAGAGTAGGAAGAATTCTTTATTTGAATGGCAATTCATTTTTTGTAAAAAATTAATTACATTAAAGAACTCTTCTTTCTACTCAATTTTACCTTTAAAATTTTATGTTTGTTAAAATTTCCTTAAATCATCTAAACTAAATTTAATTAGTTTTTGAAACATGCTTAATAACCAACCACATCAATTTTCCAATTTAAAAAATTTGTAGTTTAAAATAAGCAATAAGCCACACACCCATACAAACTCTAATTATTAAACTAGTAAACTCAAGAATAATCAAAATAAATCAGACAAAAATTTATTAAACAAATATTTTTGCTTTAAATTAAACTTGTATAAAATAAAAATCTTTTTATACTCAAAATTCAGAGTCAAATTTTAGAGATTCTAGCAGTCTGCTAATTCAGAGCCTAGACCAAATGTATTTTGTGTACCAATTTAATTGTAACTTTAAAATACAAAATATAATATATGACTAGCTAAATTAAATAGATCAAAAGGAAATATAAATCAAGCAAAAAACAACAATTTGAAAATCAAAAGATCTTCTTCAATCCAAAAAATAAATAAGCCATAAATTTTAGTAAAATGAAAATTAAAAAGAAGAGTCTTATTATTTTAATAAAAGAAAATAAAAAATTAATAAAATATTATTAACCTTAGATCTAGATTTAAAATCGAGAGCTATTTGCAATTTTTTAAAGCAGAAAATATTTTTGATGCACCTGTTGCTCCAATCTTATTTTTGCTTTTTATGTATTCAAAAAGAGTTAGTTAAGTAAGACCAAAAAATAGAAGTTAAATAATAAATATTTACAGCAAGCAAAAGAAAAAATGTCAAAAAGAAATAAATGAATAGATTATTTTCTTTAAAATTAATTTGTAAAAGATAATAAACAAATAAACTATTTTTACCATAAATTGAGCATTAAATTTGAGAGAAAGGTGCAGCTTGCTAAGGTCGAACATAAAATTGATACATCCTTAAAAAGAATTTTGTTGTTACTTTAAACATTTTAAAATAAATTTATTAGTTAGAATGAAATAGATGCTAATTAGAGCTATTGCAAAAAAAATTTAAAACAAGCAAAAATGAGCAAATAGACAATAAAAAAGAGAAAGTAAAACAAACTATGAAAATTTTTGATGGCAATAATTCAATATTTTTTGATCAGAAAAATTAAAAATAAATTTTATTTTAATTTACCTAAAATTAATTTCAAGATATATATGTTCTTAAAGTGAAGAACTTAAAAGCTTTTTTTTTAAATAAAAATAAAATTAAATATAGTTAATAAATATTAAAATTATTAAATTACATCTTCTAGTTTTTCAAAGTATTTTTTCTGTTATATCATTTTTTTTTGTATTCTAAAATTAAAATTTATCAAAATTTTCTTTTTTATAAACTTGCATTCCAAATTAAATTTTATCTAATACCAAAAGGCTGTTTTTGAATAAATAAACAAATAAATTGCAAATATTTTTAAATTAAGAACAAAAGAATTTAATAATCTGAATATTTATCGTTTTATTATTAATGATATATTTATTATATATAGATTAAATATTTTAAGTTTTAATATAAGAATATAATAATCCCATTAAAATAGAAGCTTTCTATTGTAAAATTTATATCTTTTTAAAAGGTAATCTTATATTTTTATTTATAAAATATGCTAGTTAGTATCTATTTTTAGTTTCAAAGTTATAAATAATTTATAATAAATTGTATTTTTTAATAACATTTAGTGTTTTGATGGGAATATTATAGTTAATATTTTTTATATCCCATAAATTCTCATACATTAATTAATATGTTTTTTTATGGAAGAGGAAAAAGAGGATATTTGTAAATTCTCTAGTAAAAATAATTTATATTATTTTTAAGTTTTAAATTTTTAATTGAATACAATAAATAAATATTTAAATATTTGAAAAAAATCTATAAAAAAAGGAAAGCTTTGAAAATAAAATATGAGTTTCGCAATAAACAATGAAGCAATAGCTTTAGGAAAACAAAAATTATTTGATTATTAAATATGTAAAAAAAACATCTGTCTTTCCATTCTAAAATATCTGATAATACATTAATAAGAATACGAAGTTCCTTCCAATTCAATTCATTCATTAAATTTATGAATTAAATAAAAGAAATAGGAATTAAAAGTACATCTTTTTGATATTTATCAAAGCTAAACAATAAATAATATATTTACAATATCTCTTTAATTTTTTTATTTAAGTTAAGATAATAAAGATTAATTAATTGATTGATTAATTAATTAATTAGATGTGAATAAGTAATAGGTAGGTATTATTAAAACTCATAGGAAAAGAATAATATAATATTCAATGGTCTTCTTTATAAGAAAACTTAGAATCTATAAATAGTTATTTTATATTACATAATAAGTGTAAAAGCTAAGATATCTCATAATAG